TCTAAAGCTTAGGCCTCTACAGAATTTCAAGTTGGGTACCCAAAACAAATTCCAGATTCCCCCAAATCATTACACATGCTTGAAAATTTATGTATAAATACAAAAAAAAAAAAAGATCAAGAACGTTGTCACCAGTGTTTCATGGAGAAGCAGAGAACTACATGCATTTACTCAGATGATCCCTTGGGGACAGAGACCATCTTTTTGTTATATATTTTTTTCAGTTCCTAGCTTGATAAGAGTTCTGATCCACAACACGGTGTCCTGGGTTTTCAGTAACAGCCAGTGAGAACTTCGTTTCCTTAACAGAAAGTGATGCTGAACTTTTTACAAAGTTCTTTCCCCTCTGCACTCGAATAAAGTCAGAGCTACAGGTTAAGACAGGATGCACTGCTGGGATAAGGAGTAAGAGATGCTTCTCAGGGCAAAAGCATAGACAGATGCTTAGGTTCCCTGCTTTCACATACACCCTGCACAACTGCAGCTATTTCAGTCCTGTTTATAATGTTCAAGAACTAGTGCAAAGGTGCATTTTTACCAGTAGAGGAAGAACAGGTGAGGACAGGAATTGTGGGAGTGGAGGGAAATCAAGCCCATAAAGCTTTAACTCAGTGGTCAGTACCCTTTTTAGTGTGAAAGCTGGAGGTATCCAGAGGCAGGCAGACACAGGTGTTAAAACCCAGCTGCCACCATTGCTTTTCCCTGCAGTGGCAGGGGGGAGAGTGTCTGCAACCGGTGCTTCTGCCCATGTCAGCAGGGGAAAGCAACTGTGGCTGAAGCCCCATTTCTGTGGGCCAGATCCAGCCTGCAGGTCACAGGTTGCCAAGCCCTGCTTTAACTCGTTCCCAAATGGCAGAGACCACAGGCCTGAATCATTGCATTTAATCCAGTTTTTACAAAAAAGACTGGAACCACCAGCATAGAAATTTTGGATTAAAAAAGAGTTCTTTTCAGCATATTCCACACGATTTAGTAATCAAAGCCACCATGTTTAAATGTACTAATGCCAGATTAGGGGTGCAGTTAGATCAGACTGGATAGGCATGCTGGCTTTCTGTTATCCAAAACCCATCAATTCACATGAGGCATTCAAAACAGGAAATCAATATTAAGCTATTAAAACTATTCCAATCTAATCTGGCAAGACCTATGTCAGTGGGGTCAGAAAAAGGGAAAAGATCATGCCTAGGACATGAAAAAAATATAACATTTCGGAAAGAACATAGTTCAGTTGGTGATGCACAACCAGGAAGAAGCAGTTTTCGTCTGCCTGAAGACAATAGTTTTGCCTAGGAAAAATAAGGGAACCATTAAAAATATTGATATTTAAATGTGATGTTTATATTTTTGTGGTTTTTCACCTGTTTTGTAAAAAAAAAAAAAGTGAAAGTGAAATTAAACATTTTATTTCAGGTGAAATGACAGTTTGAAAGAAAACTGAAAAGTCAGTTTTGGAACAATGGAGCCAATAGACAATGAACTCAAAAATGCATGATTCACAAAGCTCTGCTTAAGAAGTAGTTAATATTCCACATTCAGTAATTGCTAAGTACTCATTTAAAGTTAGTTATCAAATGGTGCACATGCATATACACACACAGGGTAACATACTAACATAGCAGCTGCTAAACACTCTGCGTTTGATTCTGCCTTCATTGAAATGGATAGCTAGACTCCTAGATTAATTGGGAGTAAGAGCAGAGGCTTACAATTAAATTAAAGAAAGTATAAACATTAAAGAGATTCCTTAAAAAAAACAAGAAAAAAGCCAGAAGTCAAAAGAAAATACCATTGTAGCAGTCTGGAAATTCAGGTTAGGCACAGGAAGTGCTGCTTGTCTTTTGAGTGCATGATAGACAATAGTCTTTCATAGGCTGAAGGTAAAAAGATGCCATTGTGATGATCTTTCTTATGGGACACAGGCCAGAGGACTTGTGGGGGAATCGAGTCTGGACTAGAGTATCTCTTTCAGAAGAGCTTCCAATCTTGTTTCAAAAACTACTAGGGGTGGAAAATCCACCATGAACCTGGGGAAGTTGCTTCAGTGGTTAATTATTACTATTGTTAAAAGTTTGTACTTTGTTTCTCACTTGAACTCATCTCAATTCAACTAACAGTCACTGGATCTCATGTCTGCTAAACCAAAGTTTTGTTTTTCATGTAGGTATGTGGAGACCATGATCAAGTCCCCCACCTCTCTAATCTCTCGTTTAAGATACAGGTATGAGCTTTTGGAGTCAAGCACATCAACAACGACAGGGGGAAAAAAGAACAGGAGGACTTACCTTAAAGCAACCTGGTAACTCTGCCTCATACACATTCAAACACTGAGCTACATCACCCATGGACTTAACATCACATGGTGCACCTCCTGCAGGCTGGTCTCAGTAATGTGACAGAGATACACAATTATGAAACCAGGGAAACAGCTATAGATATTTCTCAGATTCTTTTTAAAGTTTCTCTTGAAAACAAAACTATATATTAGATATATATATAAGGTGTGTAATCACCACCATTAGGATTTGTTAAAAGCTCTTGCAAAATTTAACACCAATACATTATGTACAGTACATGGATTATCTCAATGCCAGAACAATTTAAGTCTCTCCCTGTGGTATGTAAAATGTAATCGTCGTAAGACTCCAGACAAGAGCTGAAATGGAACTAAAATTTGGAACTGGAAACTTGAAGTACCAGCAATGGGAATGTTATAAGGCAGGGGTGGGCAATTATTTCAGACAGAAGGCCGCTTACTGAGTTTTGGGAAGCCATTGGGGACTGCATGACAGGCAGCCAGGGCAGATAAATATTAATTTTCTACATTTTTTAGGGGCCCTGAGGGCCAGACAGAATGGCCTGGCAGGCCGCATCTGGCCTGCATTTTGCCCACTCCTGTTATAAGATAAAGTGACTTTTAGTCATGTTTGTTTAAATTCTCAGCTTTAACCTAGGTCAGAGACACTCAGACCATGTCTCCCAATCCATGACTAATTTAAAAATAGTTCCTGTACTATCATGGATTAGCCAGCCAAGAGACATTATTAAGTTTGCCACAATTCACGAATGGATGCATGCCCTGTGGTGGCTCTTTGGTCAATCGTGACTGCTCATGCGGCTCCTGAACAAGCCAGGACGGAGTGCCGTGGAACTAGAAGAGCAGCAGAGGGGTCTTTCTTTTCTCAAAAGGAGTATCTAGCCTGCTTTTCTTCAACCTGACAATATCTGTCAAATATGTCCCCTAACCTACACACGTTAGGATTAGAGAAGCAAAACACATTGCATAAGGGTTTCAGGCATGCATTCATTTACAATGACTTTCCCATTAGATGAAAACCAAAGAAAGGAAGCAGCCTTTCCTCTCCTCACCTCTTCCTTAAGAACTGCATGCAGGCAACGGCATATTATTTCTACCAAATTCACTTACTCAAGCATACAAAGAGGTCAAATAATCTTTCGTGTATAATCCTATAGTAACAGATTAAGATGCCATAAACACTACTGTGGATTTTGAGCAGAACATGAAGTCTGCTGCAGCAAAAAGCCTGTTTACTCACTTGTTGCAGGCCCTAATAACAACTTCCAGGGGGTGAAAGATCTAGCAGTGCATTACTGATTAACTAATGTTTTTTAACTTCAAATTAAGCAGCAAAGTTATTTAATTTTCAAGTTATTCCACCTTGGCTGTAAATTAAAAGTTTAGGAAGAGGCTTCAAACTGCAAATAAGAGTAAGAAAGGAGTGGACAGTTTTTGGAAAAGTTTTATTGCATTTGTTTTCCATATGGAAGCATTGACAGAAAAGATGCAGCATTCACATTACGTCTGAAGTGAGACAGATTCATTCACCTTTCTCTACCCCTGATTTCTTTACCTTCCCTCATGGCTTTGAGTCAGTCTAAGAGGTCATTTGCCAAAATATTTTTTCTTCTCCAAAAGTGGAAACAAAAGTTATGTGAGAATCCATGAACACGGCTTATTTACAGATTTCCTTTGTTTATGATTGTTTGATGGGTCCTGTTGGCAGTTATGTTAATCACTCCTTTTCAAAACAATCCAAAAAACTTTCAGTAAAATCCCTGCTTTGATACAAACGTTAGTTTTTTGAGTCGCATGAGACTGTTTTTACCCGTTTTTGTTTTCAGTGGAATGCCCTCTGCCCCTCTCGCTTTCAACTGTTTACTGCACATAGTTAACAATCCACACAATTCATGACACCAGGCATGCATACTCCTTAACACTGACATTTCCCAACTGAAAATATATGAAAACATTTACAAAGCTCTAATGAGGGGCAGTGCTAGGAATGGAAAATTAACTGGTATCTGCTCTGGTATACCTACACAAGCCCTATGTTTTTTTATGGCAATTTGTCATGTTTCTGGGCATTCACGCCTGTTCTACACATCAATACTTTTTAGTAGGTTTTGTTCTAACAATTCATTTACCAAGACAAACAAGATAATCCTTCTATCCTAACCATTTTAAAATGAGATCTCTTTCCTGAAAGAGTAAGGCATTTCATCCAGCAAGTCTTCCAAAGCTACCATGTTTTTCCTAGAAGGGCAACACTTCCTGCTTACAAGGGAGGGAATGCACAAAAGAATGCCAGAAAGATGGAATCAATTTTGTAGCTGGAAGAAAAAGGTGGCACTGGCAACATTTGTTTTAAATACTTTAACTGTATGGGACCATCATATTAAATGGATCCTTTGTAGGGTCACACGCACATCTTGCACCTTTCAGTAACTGAAGTGTCTGTTTCCCAGTTCAAGTCATCTTATGAAAGAGCCCCAATGCTGACTCAAGAACAGCAAGCTCCATGAGGAGATCCAAAGTTGTCTATAGAAGATGGCACTGTTGGCACTCGTGTGTCATCCACAGATGTCAGAGTCATGAGACCACATGAAAATCTACTCAGAAGAGGTGGGCCCAACAAGGAAAGAGGATCCCCTTCATATTAGTTATGCCATACAGAAAGCAGATAGAAACAAAGGCCAGTAAAGTTAACAAGATTAAAAAAAAAAAAGCAGCAGCAGCTTCAGCCAGAGATAGAGTCACCTAAAGATATAGAATTACAGGGCTTTTTTCCCCTCTGCAATCAGCCATTTAGTAGATGTAAAAAAAAAGTTTGTTTTGTTTTGCTTTCTGTTTCAAACATTCATGTAAAATAGAGAACAGTAGTGCTGTACTGTGGTTTTATTTTAGTGGAAATGCTGGTCAAGAATTCTTCAGACCACATATTGGTATGGGTCTGCTTTTCCTTGGTCTGGAGTAGCGAATGGACTAAGCCATGCTATAGAGAACGGATGGCCAAATACTGCTTTCATGTTCATCCATTTTGTTTTTTTAGCCCATCTTCTCTCTTCCTTTTTCAATTGCTCAATTCCCTGAAAATAAAAATATCACATTTTCAGTCATGCACTTAATTTTTGTGGTTCTGGCTCTGGGGAAAAAAAATCTCTTAAAGTCACCCCTTATCACCAGGATGAAGTATGAAAATACAAAGATACACCTTCCCTTTTTTAAAGGGGGGAGCAGGGGACTGGGGGAGGGGAATATTCTTTCAAAATGACAATTATTTTTGTTTTTGACCAAGTTCAGAAATTAAGCCTTAAAAAAAAAAAAAAATTTTTTTTTTTTTTTAAGGCTTAATTTCGGAACTTGGGTAAAAAAAAAAAAATTTTTTTTTTTTTTTAAGGCTTAATTTCGGAACTTGGGTAAAAAAAAAAAAAAAAAAAAACCACAACACCCTCCAACTGTCATGGATGCTTTACTTCTTTCAAACATACTGTACTTTTCTTGGCTGAAAGCACTGTGACCAAACTGATGGGAGAGTTTTGTAGGAAACCATTCAGTTTGCAGACAAAAAAACCCAAGATAATCCCTAGAATGCTCCCAGATTCACCAAGCAAGTTCAGCAAGTGTCCATGGCTCAGCATGGTTGAACTTACCTAGTGCCTCTTCATGTTTCATTAAAAATTGCTGCCCAAACATGCATAGGCTGACAGCAGGAAGAAAATAAACTGATCTGAGAAAAAGGCTGGATATTGTTTTAGTAAAGGTTAGAGGGAGAGCAAAACTAGATCATCAAGCAATCAGTTGAAGTATTCCTTAAAACAGTAAATCACTTAAAAACAAAAAACCCAACCCCTTATATCTGCATCCATACAGTAAGAGTTAAGCCAAGCGTCGCTGTTATAAAAGCAAAATTAAAGTCAGTAGAATGCATTATTTCTTGACCCCAGACATCTTGAACGGGTAGACAATTCCATTGTTTGATTTAAAGCGTTTCATTAAGATTAGCTGCTGTTTGTCAATATATGCACCTCAGTGCAGCTCATGCTTCTGTTGTGAACTCCTGGTCCTGGAAGTTATGTGAAAGCACCACACCCAGCTCCAAGAGACAATAAGCAATTTGCACTGCTGGTTCCTGATGACAGCTCCACAGATAACAGCAAAGTTTCAGGCTCTACAAGGAGTTAAATTTCCCCACTGAGAGAGGGAGGCTGTGTGGTACACATAGAAGGGGTGAGAGGTGGGGGAAATGCCCCTTGAAGCGCAAGGCAAAACCGAACAATCTGTCCCACACCATTTTTAATAGAACTTCAATGCTAAGTGTTCCTCAGCGCAAGGATCACATGACATATAGACACAGATAGTTTAATGGCAGCAAACAGGGGCAGGTAGTACTGCTGATACAGACAATTCCAAATAAGTAAAAGCCCTGCCGCCTTTAACATTTGGGAGTTTTTACCCGATTCATATTTAGGTAGCAAGATAAGTGACAGCTTCTACGGATGCCCAGCATTTGTCAGGCATTTTTAGGGTACAGAACTGCAGAAGCTACATTTGAAAATACTGACCTATCTTTGTTGAAAATTCAGAAGTAACTTCAGATGCTGTCATTAGTTTACTGAAAAGTTGAGGAATAATAGCCTAGCAGGAGCCTATTGTTCTGTATGGGCCTCATCCAACAGGAAATACCTGTAGCCTTCCCTGGACAAGTAGATCTATCCAAGCATACATCCTAAAACAGGGGTTTTTAACCTTTTCTGGTTGGGGTACCCCCTGCAGCCAGTCAAGAAGCGTGGAGTCCCCCAACGGCCAATTGATGGGGAGGCTGCATGGCGCACAGCAGTGAAACCAGAAGTGCTGCCAGCAAAACTGCAAGTGCCGCCAGTTGAAAACCCCTGTCCTAAAACATCAGTGTCATCAGCTTCCAAGTTAAGCAGCTCTGAACCAAGCAAGGGTCATGAATGGCAAATACTTTTTCACTGTCCAGAGTGTGCCAAATTCTAACTCCCTATAGACAGTCAACATTATATATGTTAGTTAGATATTGATCAGTCTGGAACTAGAATGAATATATACATACAATGAACATACACATTCATTCTACCTCCAGACTGGTTAATATCTAACTAACAAGAGCAAGTGAAAAAAACAGACAAGCCACTTACCCATGAACATACATAGTTACATTCCCTTTAAAATTATCAATTCTTCCAACCTACCCAGTAAATTGGCATCTGGAAAGTTATTTCACTTTAGGATGAGACTGGCCTTCAGTTCAGCTATCAGAGATTCCCCAAGCATACCTGGTAAAGTCTAACTCTTTTCTAAAGGGTAGAAGTGACTCAGAGTCTCCACCTCTGAGAAGAACATGGTGCATCCTCTGGGGAGTCGCTCCAAAGCCTCTGAATAACCTTCATGTTGTTGCCTTAAAACCTGGAATTACTTTTACCACTTTGCAACCCACAATAAATGCTGAGATTCTACATCACAGCATACTGCAGAGGCTTCCCCCCATGCCAGGTCTGCCCCAAGAGAGTCCTGAATGGGTAAATATTTCAGAAAAACCTAAACTGAAGATTCACAAAAATAAAATTCCTCTCCCCGCCACCTCCCTGGCTTTATCTTTGCTTTTCAGCACATGAAGCTGTATATATCATGAGATGCTACATAGAGGAATCTTAAAAGATCTTAGCAGTTGGCACCAAGCACTGCAGAACCTGTTGTGTAAGAGATGCTTCATCCCAGAGGTGAACTGCTCTGCAGAGTAATCTAGTTATTTATGCTTCTTAAAATAAAAGTTTCAATCACTGGTATGGTAGATGGAACAACTTCCCCTCCCCCAGTTCTTATACCAGCCCTTTAGAGAGTGCAGTCAGTCACTGTGTTACCTCAATATGTTATTTTTGACCTTTGCTCAAAGAATGCACTAGAGCAGTGAAGCAGAACCACGTGGCGTTCCACGGCTCTTTCAACTGTGGGAAGAGCAGAAAGGAGACATCACAAAGCACTTACCGTTTCATCAGTGCAGATGGAGTGTACCTGGGTCCCAAACATGACAGACGTGAAGATGAGAAACAGAAGTGCCTCAAAACACAAGAGGATGAGAAGGATCACTGTCGTTGGCGGAGAGAAGGAGCTGCATTCTGTGAAAAAAACATGATAAAACAATAAACACTCCAAAAAAATAAAGAACCAGGGAAAAAAGCCCACAACACTGCTACAAACACTTATCACTTAATGGCAAATTCTGGTGGAGATGCTGGGATTATGTATCGGATTAGGAAGTGCTGGCTGGATAGGAGAATTTAATTTATAACCAACTATCAATATAAGAAAAAGAAATAGCTGTCGTATACAAAGGGGTATGGAGAGGCTATGATATTCCTGTGGATGTGGGACACTGAGATCCTTACTACTGTTGGTCTAAAGGGGGAAAAAAGCTATGCTGCAACATGTAGGATACATAGCCAGTTCTGACCTCTTGCATTTTATAAATAGAGAATTTATGATAACATTTGTTATGATGATAAAGTCTATTAGAATCTCAGTCTATTGATCAGGAAACAGGGGAAAAGGGGAACACTGCTTCTGTAGTGACACTGTAAGCAACACAGCACACATTTTACTCTACTTTTTGAGACAGGTAAACTTGTTTCTTTCAAGTTTACCCCCTTTTTCTCTTTACATCTAGCTATACTGCAACATTACTTCAAGGTTAAACAGAGGGTTTAAAAGGGTTGTCAAGGGTGGCTATGAAGCAGAAAGGTGAGGTAATAAAAGTGGTATAAGACAACAAGTACAATATTTAATTACTCACTTATTAATTCATTCAAATAGTCTCAGAGTTCTGTGAAATCCAATAATAAGAGCTTCTTAAAACAAATGTCTTCTCCCAGAAATCTCCCTAACCAACACTGCCCCAAATAGGGACTCTAAATTTAATCAGGCACTTAACAGTTATAGGCCAGTACCAAGATAAGATGAGGGTCCCATTGCATGTGAGACAAGGATAGCAGTAACAATAGCTCAGGTTTAGCTCTCAGAGGCTTTCTGCCAGAGTCCTGTTCTCAGCTCCTGTCAAAGGCTCCACTGTTGGCAGGTTACAGAGAATAAACTTTTTTATTTTTACCACTATATCTTCAGAGCCTGATTATTTTTGTGGGGAAAAAATCCCTCTCCTTTCATCTTTCACCATCTCTTTCTGGCTAGTGACCGAGACAATCTGTCAAGCAACTGCAGAGTGAAACTGTTATGGAGCTGCAAAGTTGCAATGCATCAACTCAAATTCTACTCACATTTCAAAGATTTCCTTCACAGTTCTGTGGACCAAACCTGCAATTACCTACATGTGAAGCTTGCATGCTTAAAATAGTAGGATCGTGCTCCTTCACTGCAAGTCCAGACACCCGGATGGAATAGAAAATTTTACAGTGGAGTGGGTGTTACCAATATTTCCTCTAGTTCTCTTTTAAAGAAATAAAAATCACCCACTGTGGATTAAGCCTGATCGTTTGAGGTGGGTGCGTATATCAACTTTTCCAGTGATTTTTTTTCCAGTGGGGAACCGTTGTTTGAACTCACAAGGATGGAATTTTAGGTATGAGCTGATAAAACTTGAGCCTTTCACAACTTCTGTTGAACTAAGAGAGCAAACATTTTCTCCCTCTTGGCACACAGGGAAATCAGTGCCATATTCAAGTGAACCCTGTTCTTTTTTAAAATGCACACATCAGCGAGCCACAGCATTCTATCTAGCCCCTAGACTTCACCTTTTGGGACAGAATTCATTATTCCACAACTGGAACTTTAACGTTCCAAGAACGACCATAAAAATAAAAGAAGCACCCATATTAGCTGTACGACAGCATGTTCTTGTAACTAGTTGTAAAAGAGGATGCCCTTTGCTTTATGCTGTAATGTTTTCTTCACAGATTAATTAGGTATCTGGAAAGAACATTTTGTCCGTACTCACTTGTCCAGTCTTCTTCAAAGCAATACAGAAAGTGAAATCCCACCATGATGAGGGCATGCAGGGAAATCAGTGCTATATACATCTGAAAACACAATGTATTTATGGAGCAATGCTGTAAAAAGAAATCACTTAAACTATCAAAATATACATCATGCAGAAGAATAAGTCACCTTTAAAAAGTTAAGGTGGCTAAGTCAAGCACTCTCAAGTTAGGAAAAGACAAGTTATGTAGCTTGCACAAATTTACTCTGGGCCCCTTGCGCTACATACAAATGATGAAGTCTTTAATTGCCTAATGATGGTAAAATACCACCAAGCTCAGATATAGCCCTTTTTCATTTGCAAATCTCAACATGCTTTATAAAGAAAAGAAATAAGTTATCCCCATTTTACAAAGGCAAAGAGAACTGAAGGGACTTGCCCATGGTCACCTGGCAACAGACCAATGGCACAGCTGGAAATACAACTCAACTCTCCCGAATCCCAGTTTGTTGAGCAAGCATTAGGCAACAGTGCCTACACTACACCATGCCTACTATCTACAGAGTATTTGCAAAGACTGGCTAGATTTGCTGGTTTTTGCAGGGAGGGCCAATGTACACTGCCAACGTTAAGCCAACCCTCTGCCAAATTTCAGCTTGCTCAAAGCAAGAAATCAGAACTTAACACAAGAGTTGCAAGAATTATTAAAATGTGGAGATGGAGTTATTTTTCACTGATTTGGTTTTGCAAAGTAGCTAACCCATTTTCACTATAAAAATATTGCTCTGGGGCACACATTTGCCCAACTGTGGCAAACTAATAAAGGATCTTCTCATGAACAAGACTTGAACAATGTTAACTACCAATGTTGCTACCCGTGCCCCCTCTCATATACAGACATTTATAGAAACAATTTTCTTCACAAAAACTTATGCATCCCTGATTCAGTTAGTCTATAAAGTAAATCCCTACCCTGTCTTCCATCTATACAAAGACACGATTAGGAGATGCTTTCTTAGAGTGCTACAGACCATGACAAATATGAGCAGCTACTCAGAAAAAACAAACATCTCTCAGTGAACTCCTCCTGAGTTCACAGACAGGAATGAACAGAACTTGCTTTCTGCTTATTCTTCAACCAGATTAAGCATTTAATATGTGGTTCACCTTGAAATACAGATCTGTCAGGTTTAACTGAACCTGAAATCCAAAATGCCATATTCAAGATGAGCCAGTAGGCAATACTACCCCACTCCAATTATTAAGGAGAGATTTATTTCATTTTCCCTCCTACAACTGGTAGGCAGGACTAACCAAGATGGAGTACTGTGTACCCAGTGGGAAAGCACCCAGAATAAAAAAAATGTTTTCCCTAACCAAACTAAAGGTTTGGGTGGTGGTGAGCTGGAGCAGCTGCTGGGACAGCTCACGTGGTGCCCATCCTGTGCCAGGCATGGTGGACAGGAGGGGAAGCCCAGCCTGGTCACAGCACGGCTCTCAAGGTCACTGCCCCACCCCGGCTGTGTCAGTGGCAGGGAGAGCCACCTACACCCCAGAAGGAAGGAGAGATACCCCCTTGCTTTGGCCCCTTCCAGCAAATAACCCCATGGTCCTAATCCATGAGGGCACTAATGATGCAGCTAGGAGAAGCCCTGATCACCTGATGGTGGACTACCATGCTCCAGGGCAGTGTGAAGGAGATAGGGGCACAGGTGGTATTCTCTTCTGTCCTACCAGTGAGCAGACGTGGAAGATGACATGAGACCCACATCAGAGAGGTCAACTCCCGGCTTTGGGAATGGTGTCTCGAAGCGGGCTTTGGCTTCCTAGACAACAACCCACACATCAGGACGAGAGACATGCTCGGGTGGGATGGGCTTCACCTTTCCCCCAAAGGTAAGTGTGTGTTCTCTTCTAGGTTGGCTGATCTCCTCCAGTGGGCTTTAAACTAGGCTCGTTGGGGGAAGGGGAAGACGAGGGCGGAGGAAGCCTTGGACCACTAAACCAAGCGTCACCCACAAGAACAGCCCAGCATAGACCAACGACGAGTGGAACAAATACCCAGGTAAGCAACAGGGGCCTGGGTAGTACCAATATTAGGGGGCCAGTGCATGCATCTTCAGGAGGCCTCAAATGCCTCTACACTAATGCTCGTTTGATGGATTTCAATACCGACAAGTGCAAGGTGCTGCACCTGAGGAGGAAGAACCAGCAGCATACCTACAGGCTAGGGAACTCCCTTCTCATCAGTGCAGAGGCAGAAAAGGATCTTGGAGTCATCATTGATACCAAGCCGGCAGTGTGGGGACGCCGTCAGGAAGGCCAGCCACACCTTGTCATGCATCCACAGATGCATCTCAAGCAGGTCCAAGGTGCTCCTCCCCCTCTACGCAGCACTGGTCAGGCCGCAGTTGGAGTACTGCATCCAGTTCTGGGTGCCGCACTTCAGGAGGGATGTGGACAACATGGAGAGGGTCCAGAGGAGGGCCACTCGCATGATCAGGGGGCAGCAGGGCAGGCCCTATGAGGAGAGGCTACAGGACCTGAACCTGTTCAGCCTCCACAAGAGAAGGCTGAGGAGGGATCTAGTGGCCGTTTACAAGCTGGTCAGAGGGGAAAAGCAGGCATTGGGGGAGTCCCTGTTCCCCCGAGCACTGCCAGGAGTGACTAGGAATAATGGTCACAAGCTGGCAGAGGGTAGATTCAAGCTAGATATCAGGAGGCGCGACTTCACAGTCAGGGCAGCTAGGATCTGGAACCAACTTCCAAGAGAAGTGGTGCTGGCTCCTACCCTGGGGATCTTTAAGAGGAGGCTGGATGAACACCTCACCAGGGTCGTTTGACCCCAGTACTCTTTCCTCCCATGGCAGACAGGTCGGATTTGATGATCTGCTCAGGTCCCTTCCGACCCTACCAACTATGAAACTATAAATATATTTTTAGGCCAGGGCTGTCAAACTTGGTGGCATGAAGCTGGTCCATGGGCTGTATCAGGCCTATGGACACCCCCGCTCTTCCCCCCACACCTGATCTAGGGCATGCAGTGCTTGTCCCAGGACCTGCATCCTGACACTGCATGCAGCATGGGTCCCACACTGGCTACAGTGGGCACAACTTGCAGTGCGAATCCCAGACCAGTCAGAATGGGTGCTGCGTGCAGCACAGGTACCAGAGTGGGCACCACATGTGGCGGACTACCAGACCAACAGGGGTAGGTGCTGCATGTAGCACGTGTCCCAAGCCCTGTGCATGGGGCTTGTCTGGTGGCCTGTGGGTCAACTCATGCCCAGGTGCAGCACTGGGGCATAGATGTTGGAACTCCCTAGGCTGAATCTTTGATACCCCTTTTCTAGGCCAATTATGCCCAAATATGTTGGCTTGTGTTATATCTTTCTTAAATTGGTGCAAAGCAAACTGTCAGAACATCAAGTGCACATCCTGCAGTATGGGATCCTCTGCTCCAGGGAGAGAAATTTGACTAGTTCTGCCTCCAAAACCCTTATGATAGACCATGCCACCAGACGGAATTAAAGCATTCATCCGTTTATTCTCAAGTCTGATTCAATACTTTTACCCTTCTACTTTGTAATATCATTAACACAGCCATCTTACACTTGCAGGTTTACTACGAGATCACTAAGAAAATGAACTAACGCTGGGAGTCAACTGTGCAGCCTTAACATTCCCTGGATTTGATCCAGTGAGATTTGCCATTGATTTCAACACAGCCTAGATTTCATCCTTGGTAGAGAAATAATACAGTCAAGTTGGCTCTCCTCCTTCCCCTTTTTTGTTCTCAACACCACAGACACAATGCAAAATGAAAATCAGAAACATTTCCTCATTTTCTGAGTGCTGACACTGGCTACCTGAATGAAGAATCTTGGTAAACCTCACGAAAAAGGGTTCTTTCCAGTGTTTCAGAGATGTAATAGCTGATCCCATCATTATTTTTGTATTACAACAGAGCCTAGGAACCCTAGGAACTGATCAAGACACTTTTGCCCAGCATTTAGCACAACATAGAACAAGGTGGTACTTACCCGAAAAAAGCTTACTAAGATTTCTATTATTGTTATGGTGCATTCTGCAATACATATACATATACATACTTACTACTACTATGCTAACTAAATCTAGACCATTAAAAAAGCTAACATGGCAAAGTACCCTTTGTGTTAACTTACTCCTAATCATTTGTTATGCTTACTTTCTAATAAACAAAATGATGTCATCAGGATTATTTCCTTGTAATGCAATTTCATCAAAAACCTACTTTTGCACATCAGTTTAATAAGCATACTTGAAATTTCGTTGTCTCCAATTAGACAACAGAACGATTCACTCCATAAAACACTTACTGTAAACAGTACAAAGTACTTCTGGTTGTTTTCTCCTACACAGTTGTTAACCCATGGACAGTGGTGATCCATTTTTCGAATACACCTCTTGCAAACACTGGAAGATGAAAAAGGAATCAGAGGTAAAATTTGAATGTAGAAATTTAGAAGTGTCCACTGACCAACAGATTAGGTTTGGTTTTCTGTGTCTACTGAATCTGCTTAAGATCAACTATTATTCCAAATATCAGTTGTACAAAAAGTTATGTCTCTCCTGTAGGCACCTGAATAACAGAGGTTATCAAACACGATGTATTAATGTAGTACTCGACTTGGAAGCTCTATAACTTAGAGATTAAATGCTACAATTAAACAAATGAAATGAAATTAAATCTAGTCTAGATTTGAATACTATTAGAAATCCATTACTCTATTTTAAGAAGTTTAACTATTTAATAAAATGTATTCAGTTAAAAAAGATTTTTGAAAAAATGAAAATTCAGATTTAACATTAGGAAAGATTGTTGACGGTGAAGTCAGTCAGACAGAACACTAAATTACCAGTGTCTACTATCGAGCCACTATCCCAAAAATATTCAATATAAAATTAGAATTAAAGCATTTAGCAAAAAAGCATTTACAAATACATCTGTAAGAACTCTAATCTCAAATCCTATGAATGTATATTGTGTTTAGCATTCAAACTTAAAAGATTATTAGTTTACTTTAACATACTTGAATATCACACTCTTAGCTTGTCACCCTCTTCCATTTCAGGATGCATTTTAAAACCATAACTAGCATCATGGGAGAGTAAAAAGGGGTGGGAATCCTTTTCTCCTATGAAAAAGGAAGAAGAAAGGCTGTCTCCTGATGCCCAAGTGCACCAACTATCATTACAGAACAACCCTAAACGGATTTAAATATGAAAAACCAACAGTTCTGTTTCTTTCTTTTGCTTCCTGTGACAAATAAACCTCTCAAAAGAAACAAAACCACAAAAAGATGCTCAATCAAAATATAAACAGTCTTGCAAGCACATACTGATAAATAATAAACAACATCCTTGTTTTGAAGTTGTCTGGCACTACACCTTGGAAGGAAGGAGTCATCGAGGAAAAATAGCAGTGTGCCCAAGACAAAAAGGAGACAATGCAGGCCCTGATCAGGACCATGATGAGGCACACCCTTGTTCTCATGCTTTTCCCTCCTGCCTTGAGCTAGATTTCCCTATTTAATATTTGCCCTGTGGTCAATGACTACTACTAACAAGCAGCCTCACATTAAAGGAAGAGACTAAAAATGACTGTTATCCAGGTGCCTACAGGGGAGACATGGCTTTAGAATTACTAGTCTGGAGATTATGGCCTGAGCATAGCAACTGCCTACAGTAACTACAAGCTGAGACACTGAAAGAATCCATTTTGCTCCAGCTTATTTTCTTTTACACACTTGTTGGCCCACTTCTACAGACTCTGCTAGAGGATGTTTGCCAGAGCTACCCCTTCTGGCTGTTGGATCCCTTGATAAGCAAGGGCATACACCACAGCAGAAATCAGTACCTCAAACCCATGCCAATCCACAAAATGTCAGAGAAAGATGATGACCAGCTGCAGCACCAAGCGAGAAACCAAGAGAGGGAAGAAGTCCCACCAGAGAAAATACCTGGAGCAGCCAGGATAAGAAGGGAGTGTCACAGAAGTCTCTGCCTCCATCACAGGCATGAACTGCAGCTTAAAGGATAACATCACTTGTAAGAGTCAGAGGAGGATGGGAAAAGACAGCTGGTGTTGGAGAAGCTGGGCCCTCCTTGCATGAGCCAAGAATGGATGAGGCAAAGATTGAGACAACAGATGCTCTCCACATTCAGACCCTCCACAGGAGCTAAACCACACAGGGAGCAAGGTGAGGAGGCAGGAGCCGATTGCCAAAAGGCATAGTTGGGCACAATAATCTCACAAAGGCATGTGAATGGGTGGAGCTCTAGTCTCAGGCACGTGGCCACTAACACCCCTACGGCTGTGCATATGTACACCCCTGCTGTCTGGAAGACCCACACAAAACAACAGGAAAGGACTTATTTACTTATTAAGGGCTCCCACTGACTTCAATGAGCATGGGACTGGGTCTTAGAACAAGAACTGCTCTCAAACCTCCCTAAAGCCTATGATGAAATACATGGAGAAGAAGGTTTTCCTCAGTAAAAGTTAGCTTTCCTTTCCCTCTGATGTGAACCACCAAGATCCCATTTTAGATGCACAGCATCATCCACAATTAAAGATCTGTCAGACAGGATTTGCAACAGCATTAATAAGCGATAGGCTCCATCACATTGCTTCAGTTGGATCAGCAATGCTTGTTTTGATTGCAATCATTTTATTTAATGGAGCTCATAGGGGAAATCTTGCTCGACTGACATTGTAAAAAGCAGAGTGATGAACAAGTTTGTTGGGGATGGTTGGAAAAGATTCTCTTAAAGCTTAAAAAATATATAGGGAGAGAGGGCTTTCTCTCTGAATCAGCAGCAACTAGAATCCTAAGATAAAGGCCCTGTAGGCATGTGCTGTTCAAGATAGGAGGTGAAAAAAAAAGTTTGAGCATATATAAGCCAATTGCTGCTTACTGTAAAGAAGCTTATCTTATTTTACACTAAAATAGGGAATAATCAAGAGTTTGTGATGCGCTAAATACCTCTCCTTAGCATGAATTGGTCAGTATGAAGATTTTTTGTCTTAAAGAAAACACAAGAAAATGGACACTATTACCACCAATTTTTTTTTGCTATAATTTTAAATTGTTTTATAAATTTAAAGTATGAAGATTAGAATTTTTTTTTAAATGCACGTAGCTTAACTTTAATTTAGTAGTAATGAAGATGACTAATAGAAGCCAAAGCCAGAAGACACTGTCAGGCCCAGAAAAAGGAAAGACCAAAGAAAAATATTTAGCGAGGTATCTAATTTTATGGACTAATATTCCGATTCCCACTTGCAAGGTATATTTTAATATAGTGTCTTTTAAGCCATGTGTACATAGGGACACTCAGGCACATCAATGAAGTCACCACAGAACTTAACATGTATGTGCTCTCCTTTAGAAGTAAAGTGGCCACAGGGTGCTTTAATAGTTTAATCCTCTTCAAAGGAGGACTCCAGTTTCTGGAGAGGCTTAAGAGTCAGGCACCCTTTGCAGTCAGTGGGAATAGATTTCCTTAAGTCCCTCTGAAGTTTCAGCCTGCAACAGCGTATTAGTCCACCAAATGGACGCTTGGTTTCACTAGACCAGGGGCTGGCAATTATTTTGGGCGGAGGGCTTCTTACTGAGTTTTGGCAAGCCATTGAGGGCTGAATGACAGGCAGCCAGAAGCAGATAAATATTAATTTTCTAAATTTTTTAGGGGCCCTGCGGGCTGCATAGAACAGCCTGGTGGGCTGCATTTGGCCTGTGGTCCACATTTTGCTCACCCCTGTACTAGAACCACATGCCATAAATGCAAGGTACAGAAGCAGTTCAGTGGAAGTAACTGTACCTGCAGTGATGTGCTCTATCAGGTTTGATGCTACAGCATTTTGGACACTTGTAAACCACCTGTCCAGGCTTCAGCTGTAAACTCTCGATGAATTCCTTTGTGGCATTACCTTTGGGCACAGCACCCTAGAAATGAAAATGGAATATGTCAACACCTACATTCATCAGTAAAACTAAAGAGCCACATCTAGATCTTGAGAGGGGGAAAAAGAGAGAGAGAAAAAAAATCCTAATACCAGTAAAGTTTCATGATTTGACTGAACAGAAAAAAATTCTGAAAGGCCATTCTAGTGAGGTCCTACTTAAGATCTGCACCCTGCGTAACATTCACCTGCTTGATTTCATCAGATAGAGCAGGCAACAATTTCTCATGTTAGCAGGTAGCCTTTTAACAAAGCTGTTAAATAATTCAGTCCTCTAGGAATTCCTACCCCATTGTTAACAAGCTTGTCATCTGAAATTTTATCACAGCAAACTGGAGACAGCTAGTATACCTTATATAAGAGTATCCATTTCTCAAGTAATAGTCTGTTAAATGATACAGACAAACATACAGTATTTCTTATTTGTTTTTAAAGTAAAGATTTAAATGTTAAACTTTAAAGACCTCCAAAAATAAGACAAGGGAAAACATTTTTGCAGGTTGTAAGCGAGTACAGTTTTTGAAATCTCCTCTAAATATAGATCTTTAACACAGCTGATTTATCGTTGCTACAGAAACCTTAATTCTCCAAAGAAACTCAACATTTGGTGCCTTTATATAACCATAAATTTACTGCAAATCCCCCCAAAAAACTGTTAAATGTACAGTATGCACTTCCAATAGATATCAGTATGTGTATATCTATATCTATCTTGGCTCTTGTATTAAAATGCATACATCTTGTATTAGAAAAAAAACAACATTATAATTTGCTTTTGGGGAAGCAGTCTTTCCTTGAAACACCTGTGCATTTCTATTAGCAGGGAACAGAAATTCTGTGCATCAGGAGTTAACAGCAGTATTACATAGGGCTCTTATTAAGAAACATATGCTGCACAGAAAAGGACAAACTCTGCCTTGATTTAAAAGCAAAAAAACCAAACCCAAAACAACCCCCACACATACCACAAGAGGAAAAAAGAAATGCAAGGCCTAAAAACCCATTTATCAGAGATAAGTAGGTAGTGGTTCCTAATAATGGAGGGCACATGCCATCAAGTGTGGCAGGATGTAAAAATCGGGAGAAAATAATCTAATCTCTCACTGCAGCAACATTTTCTATTTAATTTTTGTCCCTGCTTCCCCCAAGGCTGTTCACTCCCAGCCCGTCCTCCCAGCCTAAGTTTGTTTTTCCCAGCTTTATTCCACATGTACTTCCTCCTGCCTTGTCATACCTCCCCTTCCCTCTTCTGAAGTTGAACCCTTCATAAAAACCCATAAAAATAAATCAAACTAGATTCTACTGAGTCCTTACCAAGCACAAAAAAAACCTACTACATGACTTACCACATAATTGCTTGCATCAGATCCCTCTCCATACTCTGTAATTGCCTGGTCAAGAGTGTCAAACACAGCCTGCAGGCTGGATCCGACCCATCAACTTGGGTTATTCAGCCAAAAACTTTTGCCCTGGTTATGACTGTGGTGTTGGGGCATCCCACAGTGGCAGTCAGAGACCCAGGGAAAGCAGCACAGAGCAGCATGGCAGGCAAAATCCCAGCCATAATAGCCAGAGCTGGGACAGAAGACCCTGCTAAGTGGCTGTAATTGCAGTGGCAAAGCTTCTAACTGCAATGTCATGCAAGCTGCCCACATCTCTTGCTCTCCTCACCAGAGCACTGCCTGTAACTGCAGGAAACCCCTCCACCACAACAGAGCCCTGGTTCTGGCCATGGTGGCCAGGCTTCTGCCTGCCATGCTGCTGGGCCTACCTGTGTCCAGGTGAAAACTAGGGAATTGGCTGCAGTTGCAGGAAGCCCCACCACTGCGGCCAAAACTAGAGCTACGGCTGCGGTGGTGGGGTATTCCTATGGTGTTACCAGGCAGTTGCCAATGCCCTTCTCTTGCTGGTACCATGGGAAGCCCTGGCTCTGGATGTGATGAAGAGGATTCTGCCTATGATGCTGACAAAGCTGCCCACATCCTGACAAAAGCCAGGGGTCTGACTGTTGCCATGGGGAACCCTGCCATCAAGGCCAGAGATGCAGCTCTGGCCAGTTACAGAGTTTCTGTCTGCAGTGCTGTTTGGGTTGCCAGCATCTCAGCTCTTGCCAGGGTTCAGCCTACCACTGCAGAAAGTCTAGCCACAGGCTGCAGTGACTTGGACTTTGCTTGTAGTGCCACTGGGACTGTGCCCCAGCTGTCACTAAGGCATGGCAGGCAATTATTTTGGGCAGAGGGCCGCTTACTGAGTTTTTGCAAGCCATCGAGGGTCACATGACAGGCAGCCCAAGGCAGATAAATATTAATTTTCTAAATTTTTAGGGGCCCCACAGGCCAGATAGAATGGCCTGACAGGCCGCATCTGGCCCACCCCTGCACTAAGGTGTGGGCTGCCACTGGGGGAAGACTCACCACCTGGAGGGGGCAACACACACAGACATGCACACAGTCTCCTTGTACACACACACACACGTGCACGATGGCTGGGATGCTGGCTGCCATCATGGAAAGCCCCACCAGCAGCAGCAGAGGTTCCACATAAGGCACCAATGGGGCTCACAGCATGAGAGCCAGGATGCAGCCTGGAGGTACTTGTAAAGGAGGGAATGGGACCCTCCAGCCAGTTTGAGTTTGACACCCTGGGTCTGTTTACACCATAAACTCTGCTAAAAGGACTGTCTTTTACTCTGTGTTTGTACAGTGCTTAGCAAAACAGACCCCTATTCTCCATTGTTCCTCAGGCGGTAAGATAACACCAATAAGGAAAACAAAAGAATACTCTCAAAATTTTAACTATATACAAACTGCTGTTGTGCTTTATTCCCAATTCTGATGGCACCAGCAGTGGTAACCCTGAAACTGTCACATAGACTTATAAAGCAGAAAGAGAATGAAATGAACAAGGCTGCTTCATGGTAACACTGGAACTGTCAAGAATAAGGGCAGTTTCAAGCTACTGTTGCTGCTTCCAGAGGAAAATGCCAGCTAAGCAATAATCACTGAAGTTTTCCTAGTAGGGCATCCACTCAGGGAGCAGGGTGTAGGGCAGGAGTGGGCAAAATGCAGCCTGGGGGGGGCGGATGCGGCCCACCAGGCCATTCTATCCAGCCCGTGGGACCCTTAAAAAATTTAGAAAATTAATATTCATCTGCCCTAGGCTGCCTGTCATGCGGCCCTTGATGGCTTGCCAAAACTCACTAAGCAGCCCTCTGCCCAAAATATTTGCCTATCCCTGGTATAGGGTAAGGATTACAGCCACAGAGACCTTGCTATCACTACAGCATTCCTAACTCTGACAGGAGAAGAGACAGTAAAGCCTGTTCTCTCTTCTATCATGTAGAAAAGATAGAACTGTGAATCTATTAGCCAGAGACTGAACTTAAAAAAGGGGATATTCCTGAATATTGCAAAAGGTTCCTTTCTTCACCGTGGTTCAAATCTAGCTTAGAATGCAGCCAGACAGAGCTTGGAACATTTTTCAAGCCCTGGAAATACATGCTGAAATTATTAGGAGGTTTTAGTGCAGAAGCAGACAAAACAGTTGTTTTAGCACATTCCTGTAAATTCAGCTAAGTCACTGATGTGAAAAATGTAATATGACTTTTTAAACAAAAGCAGTGCGTTATTTCTATGCCCTGTTTTGCTGTAATGATACTTGCCAAGACAGACAACTGAAACAAGTTCTACCAGATTTCCTGTTTGTCAGCACTTGAAAGGCCACAAACACAAAATCTAGTATGGGCAAGAAAAAAGGACAGCAGAATGTCTCTCTCTCATGTTAAGAGAAAGCTGCCCACGCCAGCTTCCTGGGAAGCTGATATTTGGTTACATTTTACAGAGCAGGACACCAAGTCAGCATACAGTAACAGCAGCCCTACTCATCACAATGATACACAAAACTTATTTAAATCTACCATTTACCAGTGGCCACAATTACTCACATGTTGCAGGTGAGAAAAAAATGTAGCCGGTTCATGAATAAGTACACAACAATATACTTACTGGGTCGGTTAGCATGGCTCGGAAATGTGATGCCAAAGCCAGGAAAGCCAACGTATTGAACAATATCCCATTGATCACGCTATAAACATAGTCTCTTGATGGAACTAACATGACAAGAAGGACTACAAAGTCTGCGTAGAAGACCAGCATCCAGGTAACAACAGCACATGCAATACCACAGCCATCTCTAATAAACCACATTGTTCCCAGGGAACTGTGGCTAGGAGGTGGAACACACTTGTCTGGCTGAAGGTATTCAGGCTTCCTCTCAATATCTCTGAAACGGTGGATTGGGGTAATCATCATAGGTTATAATGTCCATAACTGCATCTGAAAGAGAAGAAATAAAAAGAAGTTAGGAATGAAATTCAAAGCTCCTTTTACATAATGGAATGGGAAATACGTGGGGAAATCCAGACTGATGAAAGGGACCTGAAGGGGGAAAAGGTTAGGGATGGGGTGGGGAAGTGTAGGGAAATCAGTGAACAAGAAAAACTGTTTTGGAGATCATCTTCTTACATTTATAAGAGCACTTGCCCTTCAGAGGGATCCCATAGAGCTTTTCAAACTTTACCAAAGGGCTTATCAATTATACCTAGGAATTACTTAAGCCACCATTGCAACACCTCTGGGGAAAAATGCTGCAAGAATTTAAGGGAGCATAACACCGCAGAGCAGTTAGGTAATACCTGGCAGGGACAGTGGGAGAAGCAGTTAAAGCAGAGGCTGCTGCACTGTGGAGGAAACAAAGTGAAAACAGTTGGGTACTGATGGTGAAGGGAGTTACATTTTCCCTGCATCCAGGACTGCATAGAAAGACTCCCTCCTCAAACATTACCAGGTGGTTTGGGCAGAAATCCAGAGATGAACAAGGCAAAAATTCAACTGAGGGGGAGGGAGAGAGCAGTTAAAGTACCAATCTATGGATAATTTGGAGAACTTTCTAATTTTGACTGGACACTCTTTGACCTACTCAGACTGGGTACCACCTTCTCAGTCGATCTCTTCACCTTGGCCTCATTCCTCACAGGTCTACCTTTTTCTCCTCTAACATTATCCTTCCAGCATTTTTACTTTCCATTTAGCCTTTTCCTTTCTAGCTAAATCTGTGCCCCGCCCCCCGCCAAATAAAAAACCTAACATGTTTGCTACAATCAAATTGTTCACTCTTCTTGTCTACTTAAGAGCATAACGCTTTTGGTGCAGGAACTGTGTGCTACTGTGTCTGTACTGGATTTACACCAATGAAACTACCATTCTCAATATGGTTTTTGCACACTACTGTAATAAACATGCCATACCTAAATGGCACAGCACTGCAAATCAAGGTTTTTAAAACACTGTTGACCAATGTTGGCTATGGTGCCTATATCAAGAGTTTTAACATTGTTAATGCTTCCCAAAATGACGTGCAATTTCCTCCTTTTTCGTTTATTTGTTCTCATTCAGTAAGAAATTGGAAAGAGTTATTTACCCAAAGCTACACAATCTCTAACAGCAGTCAAAAAATATTTTTCTAACAGTTTTTTGTTGAAATGCAACACTTTTGCCTCAATTCAGTGAAATAAGCTCTACTTGGTTTGTGTCCATATATAATTTAGCATGTTAGTGAGAGTTGTTTTCATCATATAATCTAGGTTGTATATGTGTAGAACTCCTGTCGGCTCAGATCAAGCGTGTGTATGTTTGTCTGCGTGCCAACAAGAGTTATGTACAATCTAGTTTATCTGATGAGGACAACTCTCACCAACATGCAAAATTGCTAAACTACCATGCAATTGACCCACAATTTCATAAAAGAACACAAACATTGTCATACAAATAAATCATCAGCAAAAGAACCAAGGGATCTATGGTGAACTCTGAATCCAGAATGTTTATCTAGCCTCCGTTATAAATAATCCACTATGTCTAGAGATGCAATGAGAACTAATGTCACCTCAAAGGAATCTACTTAGGGTCGTAGGAAAGTAAATGTCTCCTTACAAGTCAAGATATTAGCCTGGAAATAAACGTTTGGAAGGGGAGTGTAACCCACTGATTTCCCCCCATAGTGCAAGAGATTTCCTTTGCTGACATCTTAATTTCTGATAATATTTGTAAAGAAGCCTGATTAGAAAAAAAATTGGCAAGAGAACAGTCAATTTAGGTTAATAAGCAAGTAGTCTGAATTTTAAAAACACACCTAGAATGTAGACTTTGAAAGCAGCTACTATACACACATGCAATAACTTTTTAAAAAGTCTTTGAAGTGTTTGAAAAAGCACATGTACCAAAAATACACATTTACAGAAGCTGTAAGAGCTTCAGTGATCATTATGATCCTTAAAAATAAAAGTCTACCTTTTTGGAAAGGGCTTAACAGCTCCTTCAGGTGCACCTTATTTACTTCCATAAGAGGTTACCATTTTGTCTTTAATATACTACATATTAGGATAATTCATTTTCCTGGAAGGTACACCAGAAAAACTGACTAGAAAGACTGCATTTTTATGTCCCATTCAGAGAAGGAAGGCGATGTATGCTCAAAAATTAAAATTGCTGAGTGTTCTAAGGAAAAAAGTGTATACCTCTTACTTTTTGGTTTAAAATTTGCAAAAATGGGTATTATAGAAAAGTAGCAAAACAAATATTTAGAAAATCATGAAGAAACTAAGAAATCATGAAACTTCTCACAATACTTATGGGCAAATTTTGGCAACTTTATGGTAAAGGAAAGATGCATAGTATTGTATAGGGCTGACAGCAATACCAATAGCTACCCATTTCTATACAGTAATGAAGCTGATAGTTTGCTGTGTGGATGGTGATTTCAAGAGGATCAAGTTAATAGAAGGGAAATTAATCGCATAATCAAAGGTTAGGTTTATTATTGAGAAGGTTAATTAAATTCAACAAACAAAGATGAGCTTGTACATGTTTGTAAAAGTGACATTAAAAAAAGATGACTGGATACTGAACTAGAAGTTGAAATGCCATGTTCAAAAACCAAAGCGATAGAGAAAAGTCCCTAATTAAAAGGAGTTGATGAATGTGACAATAAGACGTTGGGAGTGAGCATTTGATCAGCTGGTGCTAGTAAGAAGGCTTAGTTTGAAAAAACAAACAAGACACGTGGAACTAAGAGAAGTAAGTAAATGGAATTAAGATATTGGAAGCTAAATACTAGAAAATGTTTAGAACTTTACCTTTTGTGCCCAAAAGCTTACAAAGAACATTTTTTCCAACTATTTAGTTGGTCTAATAAAAGATATCACATTTACCCAAAGAACCTTGTCTGCCTATGTCCTTAGACCAACAGGGCTACAACCAACACCCTAGAACTTCACCTGATATTCACAGGTCATTATACTCAATGATTCTGTGAAAAGTGAAAAAAAATCTCACAGAGCAAAATCTGTGCACACTAACTTTCTTAAAGAAATAAAATCAACATATTAAAAATGTCAGTTTAGTTGCTTTGGAAAGGAGGAGGGATTTTAATTTTGTTTCTCCCACTTGCAAAACCATTACTTGCTATTGTACTGTTCCCCATTTTAATCATAAATTTGTATCGAAACAAGTCTTACAACTTCTACTATTTTTAAGGGAAACAAGGAAGTAAAATTTCCATGATTTCAAAAGTAGCTATCATTGATAGATCAGAAACCTAATTTCTTTTAAATATACCTGCAAATGAATACATAGGATTTCTACACTTGTTGTGAAGGATCTACTAAAGAAAATGTTTGAGTCTTAATGAAATACTGTCTTGTAAAGCATATTGAACTGAAAATAAATAGATGCAGGCAAGGGGTCATCTTAAAGATGAAACAGAGGATTTGAGACATCTCATGAGGATGCCTCCAGAAGGTTTTGCAGCTTGTGTCTAGAATAAGCCATGGAAGGAGAAGGACAACCTATTGCCAACAAAGTGCCAGAGTCAGCTAGAGGCAAGACATGTTTGTTATGGCATATCTTTTGATATTACTTTTTTAATTTAAAAAAATAAGATTTTTAAAATTTAAATCAGATATTTTTATTTAATCTTTTTTTATTGTTAAGATGTTTTTAAAAAAAACTAAACCTATGTAAAGATACTTTTGATTTAAGATACATTAGAGCTCAAAGATATCATCAAGGAATAGGGATTATAATTTCTAATTGTATACTATTTGAGACAATCTATTCATGTAACCTTTTAAAAAAAGTTTTATAAATAGGTTACAACATGGCACGGACTCTATTAGAGGCCCAATCTATCTTACGGGGTTCCTAGAGGCTTTTCTATGGCTTAGTAAAAATTAAAGAAAACCACTGTACCCAATGGGACTCAGTGCTCAGTCTAGAGGATCCCATTAAGCATCTCTGCGATGCTTAGTTTCAGTTCTCAAACTGTGCATTTGTCTCCAGAGATAGCATTCTTGTTAAGAGCAGTATATGGAGATGAAATAACAGACCTGATTACCTACCCATCAGCCCTATTGTTTCTCTACAAGTCTGTGTACACAAAGTCAAGCCCCTACTTCTCTCTAAAAGTGCAAAGTTTCAAGAAGTAAAATGAACAGAGGATTGCTGGGTGTGGAGTAGATCTGGGCAAGGAGGAGGAGTCTGGAGATAAATGCAAGGAAGGAAGGGCACTAGAAACAAAAGAGAACCATTTTGAGCAGAATATTCCAGAAGTCTTGAGAGAGAAGTCTCTGAGTATAGCCTTTCCATTGGTTTGAGATCTAGTGAGGGAATGGTATGGTAGAAGGGAAAACTTATCATGGCAGCAGGCTTGCCAGGCTATAAAAGAGACTGTTTGGGAATATTTTAAATGAAAGTTATATCAAAAAACAAGCATGCACTTTTTGTAGAAAACAATGATTTAATCGAGGCTTCCTGACCAGTGATTTAAATTCATTTGATTTAAATCAAATCCACTCCGATATTTAATACAAAGCTTATGCTTTGTCATCCCCAGGAGACAGGACAAAGCATAAGCAGTCAGTCCATAAACACTAGAATCACGGAAGGTAGAGAGAAAGTAAGGCCAAGTCTGCACTAGAAATGATTTGTCAGGATAGCTGGATTGGCATGCCCTCCTAGATAGACGCTGTTTATACTAGCCAAAAAAGTCCTTTGCCATATGCTTCAAACCAGCTGCACAAGCAAATGAGCTGAACTGGCAAATGCATATTTATTCTGGTTTAACTGCATCTACCCTTGGACTTCTAATCAGTGGAGAAAAGTTCCCCTCTTTAACCCACCCCCTCCCAGGATCTCCCCCATCTCCAAACACACACTGCTATGCCAGTAGAAGTATCTAGTGTAGAAACTCTGGCCAAAAGGTACACATCCTCTGGAAGCATGTAAATAGAGAGTAACAACAGTTCA